TGGATCCATGAGATTTGAATATGGAGCTGAGATTATATATTTTGCAGAAAAATAAATAAAAGATTGGCAAGAGGGGGTTTTTATAGTGATTCGGATGCTCAACAAACGACTCCTACATCCACTGTTATTTTATTGCTCACTGACTATTTCTATGATTTTGCCCGTAAGGCATACAAAGATGAAGAAATACAGTGTTTACAGAGAGAGAATGAAAATGAGGCTCAAATCTTAGCCTAGCCTCCTTCTTCAGGAAGAGGAGTGCTAATTTATACACCTAAACACTTAATGCAATGAGTGTTTTGCAAGTTGCCTTGACACATGGAAGGCTCTCATCCATTCATTTCTTGAAAGGAGATATGGTTGGTGAGAATATCTTTGGAGATTTGGGCTTGGCAGCTGGTACAAGAAGACATTAAATGAGCTGACATAGGCGTGACTTTTGAGGCATATTTTACTCCAAAATCAAGCGTCAATAGTTGAGTTGGCCCCAAAAGACACGTGAAAGGTTTTTAGGAAAAATGAAAGTAAATGCAGTGAGAAAAGAGTTTTAAAGTGGTTCGGATGCTAAGGAGGCAAATCCTACGTCCACTGATGTTTTTATTTATGACGATGGTTAGGTCGCTTTAGACGACTGACTTTACACTGATGATACAAGGTATCGAAGACTGTCTTTTCTAGAGAGTGAGTTCTTATCAAGAGTAAAATGTGCGAATCCCTTTAATGAGAGAGAAGCTCCCTTTTTATAGTGGGATGTCTTGAGGCAATCATAATTGAATCTGCAAGTTGGTAGGATGATCCGTGCAAATCCTTTGTTTAGAGTAATTCACGTGATTTGCTGCAGGGGTTGGACACGCGAGATTATCACAACTCCTTGCTGGCCTAACGTGCACCCATTACTCTGACGGAAGGAAGCTATGGGTGCCATCGTGATCACACGAAGCAGTTGCGTCAGGATGGCAGTAGGCTCTTCCTGAGGTCTGACCTTGCGCACTTACCAGGGCGCCACGTCAGCCCTAAGTTCCCAGGCATAACATTGTGATAAAGTGACCTTCGGAGCTATAAAAGCCTAATTTACCTATGTTTTAGGTCATTCAATCCTTCATTTCTGATAATTGAAAGGTCAAACATTAGTTTCTTGAGTCTTAGGGGATGTAAATGACATTGGCCTTTATTTTTATTAGAGTAGAGATTAAAACTTCAAGATTGATAGTCAATATGTCGACTAGTTGGTTGAGTATGATCTAGAGGCAATAACAATTCCCCTTAACAATAAGGAAATCAAAACTCCTTTAGAGATAAGAATATAATGTTGAGAAATTTCAAGTTCTTGGATAATAAACTTGTCCAACTATTTGATGGATTAGATCCATCATCTAAAGACTAAATTTATAAAAAATATAAGTTGAAAAGTCTTCATTATCTATTAGATGAAAATTAGGCTTACAATATTAACATGTGAAAGTAAGGCTAAATTAGTAATTTCCTTGTTCAATTATGAATATTATAGGAGGGTAAACTTGTTATATTAACTGCAATTTGGATAATTTTTTATTTTCTAATTCAATTTTGATTAAATTATTAGAAATTAAATAAGATAAATGTGGGGTGTCAAAAGTATTTGTAAAGAATTAGAAATTAAACTCAATTTTGATAATTTAACGTAGTGATAAATTTGACATTATAAAAGTTATTAAAAAGCAGGGTTTCTTTAGCTCATTAATAGGAGTGTCAATATATCCATTGGAACAGATTTTTAGCCTCTGTCTATTTTATCATTATCCTGTCACTTTTAAATTTATTTTTTCTTTTGACAAGTTTAATTTTAATTAAAATTACTAGAAATAACATTATAATTTTTAAATACACTTATACTCTATTTTATATTTTTGTTTTAATTTTTAACATTTAATCTTACATAAACCCCAACCCTAAATTTTAATAATAATTAAAACAATTTATTTTATTTTAAATATTTGATTGTTTGATGAAAATATAATACTAAAACTATAGAAAAAATAATCACACAATAAAATGAATATGAATTTGTAAAAGGAAAAGTAAGTTTCAAATTTGACATTAGGAAATTAGGGGAAAAAGTTTGTAAACAAAAAATCTAATTAAATTTGAGATTGGGGAAAAAGGGTGTAAAACTAAAAACCATAATTAAGTTTGAAATGGGGGAAAAATAATTAACCTTATAGGGCTATTTTTAGTATTAAATGAGGTTTAAAGATATATATTTTTCTTAATTATAGGAAAGATGTATTTAGCAACTGGGGATACTGATAAATTGAATAGGAGTTAAAAAAAACTTCCCTATATCCACTCATCTATTTTTTCCTATCAAATGGGGATAAAAATACACAGGCCCCAGTTGGGCTTGCCCGGGCTTACATTTGAAAATTCCTAGCCCGAGCCCAAGATTTTAGAGAGCTCTCTATACCTGAAATTTTTAAGAGAAACAGGTTTTGGTAAGCCTTGGTATACCCCGAGCCTGATTTTTCAGGCCTTAAAATATGTGTGGGCACGGTTAAGGTTTCTATTATATCCTTAATCATCAAAGAGGTACACGGTTAGTAACTATAACTGAAATGAAATCAAGACTGTAGAACTGATCAAAGTGGGACATACTTAGATTCTACAGGTAAAATGAAATTAGGACTGTAGAGCTAATCAAAGTAGGACATTGGTTGCAGGACACGTCATATTTGTCCAAACTCCATCGAAATGCTCACGTTTAGAAAAGCTTTCCCCACAAAAAATAAACAAACGTGAATAATCACTCTCGTTCTCTGTCTACAAAATTCAAAACTCTCTAACGGGTGCATTTCTCTCTCCTCTCCTCTTCTTGTCTCCAACGCCCTCAATCTCAGCAATCAAGCCCAAATTAACAAAACCTACTCTCTCTTCTCTCTCTTTAGTTTACTGTTCGGAATGAAGCACTTCATGCAGCCAAGAAACACAATCTTGAGAGAGACTCACTCAAGTGAGTCGCCATCTTCGTCGTCTCCAAACCCTAATTCAACATTAAAGTCATTACAGAAGCAAAAATAATCCAAAGAAAACGCTCTGCTGTCAAATCTGAACTCACTTCTTCCACCTTCTCCGGCACCTTCCAAGATGAAGAGTCCGCTGCCCCACGCCCGCCCAGTCCACTCAAGCGCAAGCTCGCCACTGATACACGTCCCGAGAACGTAATGGTTGGGGTCCCCAACTCGGGTGTTCAAGTAATTGTTTCGATCTTCTTCTTTTCAGTGGTTATTTGATATTATCTTTTTTATATTTTGAGGGAATTTGGGGAAAAAGTGACTCAAGCTTGAGAAAATGTAAATTTTAAAGTTTTGTTTAGCTTCTGTTTGTTACTGAGAAGAAAAGAGAGAAATTGTTGAGTTTTTTTTTTTTTTTNGATGCCTTAGGTTGATTTTCTACCCCAAATCATTCCAAAAGCCCTTTAAAACTCCTTGATCAAAAGAAAGAGAAATTGAGAGGAAGCAAGAGAGGAGAGTGGCGATGGAGAAGAAGAATGAAGGGTTTGCAATGACTTAATTCCTTTTAATGAAATTTGTACACAAGCATTCCCATTTTGGTCGGCCTGTCGCCGCGGCGAGGAAGCTTCTGTCGTCGCGGCGAAACTGTCCAGCAGCTTCCCGTGGCTTCAACACCCCTTCGCCGCGGCGAAGATTCTTCATCGCCCCGGCGAAGCTTGGAACACTGAACCTTTTCTATTTTCAACCAATTTCAAGGCAAGCATTCAACATAACACTCAATCAAAGGTCAACCAAACAATATTACCAAGAAACCAACTCAAATAAGAGCAAAAGAAGAAACAATAACTATGTACCTCAAGTGAGGCGTTACATCAAGGGGATGCTGCTGGTAGGCAATGGTTTTAAGACTCTTAGACTTATAGAACATGACTATTAGTTTGCTTTGTATCATTTCGTAATAGAACAAACGTATTATTGACATGTTTATGTAATTTAATCTTGCAAATTTGATAAATTTCACCCTCCCTTTTGTACATTTCTAATAGGTGATGGTTGAATCATATGTAGGTACGCTATCTTGCACATTTGTGGCTCTAAAAGTTCTATTTTTAGTGTATAAATATAATCCTTCTTTTTTTTGTTTCATAAACATGTGATGTCTAATATCTTTTATGGTCTGAAAGGCCAATAGGCCTCATGGATAAGGAAGGATGTGTCCTCGTGGAGAACAATGGGACTGTTAGCTTGGATATTTTTCGCTCCTTATCGTCACCTATTGGCATAATTGATTCTGGAAAGGTTTTCCATTTAGTTTCAATTTTCTCTTTATTGCTACGTGCATTTCTATTTCTTTGATATTTGCAAATTTTGCTTGAGAGTAGGTATTTATTATTATTTTTGTCATTGGCATTAGTGTGTATTTATTGACAATATTGATTGGGAATTGCAACCAGAGAAGCAACATCAGAAAACTCCTGCTTTGATTGACTTGTTGAACGCAACACAATGTCAAAACTTAGATTGACTTGTTGAACGTAACACAATGTCAAAACTTAGTTGATGAGGTCTGTATTCATCAAACTTCTCTTATTTTGGTTTATCAAGGATAAGAACAATGATTAAGTTATCTAGAAATTCATAAATATAGAATGTCACATCTTGTATATATGTAAAAATATTTTCCCTTTTCTTTTGGCACTTAGCTTGATGAACAAAAATTCAATCCCTTTCTTTTCTCTTCCGTCAAGATATTTAATCACAACTAATTAGTTTCTGTTTTAGGCATTACCTTTCAGTGCTAAAGATGGAGAAGTTCCTCCTAGAGAAATTGTGGCTGTTGTTCGACCTGCCAATGCTGTTTCTTCTAGTGCGTCAAAGAAGTTGGACCAAAAGCACATTGTTAAGAATAATTTAGAGATGATCATGGAAGTCGGATTCATACGTGAAAGGAAGAATCTTCAAAAGGGTATCAACATCTACGCAGCTGGAGTACCACCAACTTCTACAAACAGATATCAAGGTTTATATATATTTTAATTTGGGTGCAAGTTACCAAACTTCTTTCAGAATGCTGGGATGTATAGGTTTTCATTTCACCTTGTAAGTGATACAAAAGATTCTTAGCTCTTTTTGTTCGTTACAATATAGTATGATATCGTTTCTTGTGTTTTATGATTATATAACCTGATATGATGAAATTTTGTGCTTTAGCCTCAGTCAAGCTGTAAGAGTTGTGAGAGATAGGTGGTAGTTAAGGGATCTTCTAAGGTTGGAAATTGGAGACTGTTGAGTTGTAAACAGAGCCCAGAGTTCTGTGTTAGGTAAGAAAACTTTTAACGAATCAGCTAATCAATTTTTCTGTTCATGAAACTCACAATAAAATTCTTTCCATCTTTTGGTTGAGATAGCTCATTCATACAAAATTTTGAAGAAATTTCAAGTAACATTATTCTTCGCTAGTCTTAAGCCCTAAGTACAAAATGAGGGATGATAAGTAGCCCAAATAAGTTATTACAAGATGCTTTCTGTATTGCATAAGAATGAATTGCACAATTTCCCNATACTGTATTAGCAGTCATTAAACAACCAATGTGTAGGAGATGAATGAATTATCTGTCAAAAACACAATCCTAATATAGGGATTATTTTGACCTTATGCTTTATGCCCAATTGGTCTTCAAATCAAAATCCATCCAAGTTCAATTCAACTTCCAAACCTTTGTTGATGTGATTACTACAAGTATCAAACATCTAGAAGAAATGAATGGTTAAATAGGTTAGCAAGTATGCATTGAACCACTCTCAAAAGATATACAAGTTTCCAATTATATAACTTAGATAATACATTTGTTTGATTGTTGCAGGTTGAGCCAAAAAAATATTTCTTTAAATGTTATGATGAAGTACCTCAATATTCCATAAAAGTGTTCTAAATCTCTAATTATGCTAAAAGGAAATTAATATTATCATGTTTCAGCACTGAAATCAAAGATTAAAGGTATACACTAAGTACCACGGGTTAAATGAATATACATTGTGAAATAACATATGTAGCATTAAGGAATCCACCCCATTAATGTAGTCGATATGCTTAGGTTGTCAAATAACATATAATCATCTGTATAATCAATTGTGTTCCTAATACAATATACGATGTCAATATTTAAGAATTAACTTTAAACTAAGTTCAACTAAGCCCCTCCTTTATAAGATTAATCTTTGAGACTAATGATTAGTCAACCACTCCAGTTTGCTTCATTAATCTAAAATGTACTTAATTACTATCATAAGACATTACAAATTTTCCAAAATAAGTCTAGCCATGAAAATTATAACATCCCCAAAATACCTCAAATTTAAGCTGCTTAACCATAGAACCTGGAAGCAAATTGTTCCCAAAATTTGGTGATTGGATAGTGACATACTTTAAAGATCTAGGAATAACTGATACATATATATAAANTTTCAGCTGATAAATTGACCCTTAATATTGAGGTATGAGTTCACACATGAATATCTTTTATGTGCCCTTTTAAAGAAGTACCTCTTATTTAAATAGTGTTAATATGTTTTTGGTGTGCATTAGCTCCTTTTTTAAGTTATCCTAATTCTACAGGATATTCTAATTGAAAGCTATGAGTTGGACAAGATCCAACCACATTATGAGGCTACCTTGGTGATATCTCCACAAAATGAATTGGCATCAGTTTCAATTCCATGTCAAGGTATTCCAGTGCTTTTAACATATTTGCATCTGGAACCTGTTTTAATTTTTTTTCTAACATCATCTTGCAATTGTACTCATATGTAATATGATTTATATATATGTATCAGTTATTCCTAGATTTTTAAAGTATGTCACTATCCAATCACCAAATTTTGGGAACAATTTGCTTCCAGGTTCTATGGTTAAACAGCTTAAATTTGAGGTATTTTGGGGATGTTATAATTTTCATGGATAGACTTATTTTGGAAAATTTGTAATGTCTTATGATAGTAATTAAGTACATTGTAGATAAATGGAGCAAACTGGAGTGGTTGACAAATCATTAGTCTCAAACATTAATCTTATAAAGGAGGGGCTTAGTTGAACTAAGTTTAAAGTTAATTCTTATATATTGACATCGTATATATTGTACTAGGAACACAATTGATTATACAGATGATTATATGTTATTTGACAACCTAAGCATATCAATTGCATTAATGGGGTAGATTCCTTAATGCTGCATATGTTATTTCACAATGTGTATTCATTTAACCCGTGGTACTTAGTGTATACCTTTAATCTTTGATTTCAGTGCTGAAACATGATAATATTAATTTCCTTTTAGCATTATTAGAGTTTTAGAACACTTTTATGGAATATTGAGGCACTTCATCTAACATTTAAAGAAATATTTTTTTGGGTCAACCTACAACAATTAAAACAAATGTATTATCTAAGTTAGGTAATTGGAATCTTGTATATATTTTGAGAGTGGTTTACGGCATACTTGCTAACCTATTTTAACCATTCATTTCTTCTAGATGTTTGATACTTGTAGTAATCACATCAACAAAGGTTTGGAAGTAGAATTGAACGTGGATGGATTTCGATTTGAACACCAATTGGGCATAAAGCGTAAGGTCAGAATAATCCCTATATTAGGATTGTGTTTTTGACAGATAATTCATTCATCTCCTACACATTGGTTCTTTAATGACTGCGTAAGGTCAACATTGGTGGATGATTATGGATGTGTTGACCTTAGTGGCCTTTTGAAAGTAACAGGTGGTTATGGAAAAAGTGGTATGATCTTAGGGACCTTAAATATTATTTTGGGGAAAATAAATTGGTTTATTCACTTGTAACATTCCTGTCTCCCCTCAATATCTGATTTTAATATGTTTGATTTGTTAATTTTTCTTGCATTAAATTTATGATCAGTGCTTTTATGATGCAGGGATTGTCAAACAGGAGGACAGGTGCAACTAGTATAAATGCAGAAAGCTCACGCTCACATAGTGTTTTCACTTGTGTTGTTGAATCTCGATGCAAGGTAATAACTGCTGCAATTTAAAAATGAGTAGTTTTTCTTTAAATTATGAGTTACAGATTGCATAAAGTGTTTCTCTTAAAGGCATATTAATCTGTGTCTATCTATTAGAATACTCTTTACCAGCTAAGCAATCTGATATTCTGTGCAGTTTTGCTCGTTATATCTGCTTCATTAACTTTGACGTAAGAGTAGAATCTATTGACATGCAACAACAACAGAGTACTTGAATATCTTTGTTTTTTTCATGAGTTTTGTTTCATTTCATTGTGATCGATGTTTTCTGAGTTAAACTCTTGTGTCTTTTAGAGCAAGGCAGATGGTATAAGCAGGTTTAAAACAAGTAGAATAAATCTTGTCGATCTAGCTGGGTCAGAAAGACAGAAGTTAGCTGGTGCTGCCGGGGAACACTTGAAAGAAGCTGGAAATATTATTCGTTCTCTCTCACAGCTTGGGTACGTTTCACATGCCTTTTGTTTTTTTCTTTTTCATGATGATGAGAATTTGAGGTTTGCAGCAACATGGGTCTTCGTTATAGTTCACTTGATTCAACATCTGTACTTTATAAGGTAATCTTTAGATTCTGGTGTCTGTCACTTGAATCTACATCTTGGTGCTGTTTAATGCACTTTTTTTTATTGCGTCTGTACAGCTATATAGTTTAATAGAACAAAAAATGTCAATTTTGACCAAGTGTGTTATCCTGGTGATGAGACTAGAATTTAAAGAACTTTATGGTACTAGAAATGTAGAAATCAAATAAAAAGAAAAATGAAATATCGAAAAAGTGAAGTATTGTTAAAATCATTTGTATTGTCATGGGAACATGCTAATGCAGTTCACATGTACTGAGACTTATGCAATTTCCATTAAATTAAAAATTATAGAGAAAATAATTATTGTTTGAAAAATATATCTAAAAGTTTTTTTTATTCTAGGTATATTTCAATTCTGTTCCTCATTACTTGAAACAATAATTAGCTTTCACACAATTGAGAAATACCTATTGCGTGCCAAATTATCGATGTAATTACCACTCTATGCACCTCAAGCGATGAATTTGTGTAATTTGCATTTTCGTAATTTTCATCAATTGTTGCTTAGATTGTGTGACTGGTTCACTATCGTATGAATTTGTGTTTGGTTGCTGAGAAAATTCAGAAACTATAGTTTACTGTATATTAATTCTTATTTTGCTGAATTTTTCCATCCAACTAGCAAAGCATAATTAGTTTTGTTGTAGAATAGGTTGATTCAGTCAAACTTGATTTTCTTCTTTAGAGCAGAAGCTTTAGTTGCTTATTTGGTCATATAATCCTTACGATATGAATTAAATCATGTACATAGCTCAACCTTCTTCCCAATCAACGTAGAGAGCACCAAAACTACTTTCTAAAATACTGTGATTTCCATGTCTTCTGTTTGGCAGAATATGTACAGTTGAGATAAACATAATTCTTAAGCCTTATATACTGGAAGCACTTATGATGACAGTTCTTTTATGCTCCTGATTAAATATTTTGAATGGCCTTTGGAAAATAAACTTCAGAAGTGTAAAGACACATGAGTACATCAGTTCGACCTTAGTTATCTTTACATGTAGTCTAAGCTTAGGAATATACAAGGATGCAATGCTTAGAGTAATTGTATGGCAATTAAAAAAAAAAACGCAATTGCTTATTTGTTCAAAGCAAGGTTTTCATCTTCTAGTAATGTTCTTGCAGACTTCACAATTTTTTTTTTAATCCTTTTCATTTTATGGTCTTTGTAAATGCAGCTTCACTGCTTTGGGGTTCTCTTAAATAGTCGAACAAATAATTCCTATGTCCTCATTAAAGACAGAGATGCCCTCATCTCCAATCTTGTTGTAGGCCTTCATTTGCCAAGGTAATAAGATTTACCTTGAATGCATCTACCCTATCGTAAGCCTGCCTATCTGTTATATAGCTTCAAAATTGTTGCATTTTTTATATGTTCATCCCAATTGTGAGGATCAGTGTCTTGGTTGGTTCTGTTACTGTGAATTTTTATTTTCAATTTCAGATTTTGTAGTTCATTATAATTGAATGAATTATTATATTGTTTATTCTTCTGTATTTGCTGGAACATATCCTTTTCCAACTTATCTTATAGGCAACCCAAATTGAACTAGCTTTCACATTTTTTATTGCATGTACTGCTGGTAAATAAAATGAGGGTTTCAGCAGAGGTGTAATGGATATGGTGGGACCAAAGTTGTAGAGACAAAGGGAGAATAACAAGATGTTAAGAAAATAGAGGTCATTTATTTGTTTGGTTTGAGTGTCAAGAGGATGGGGAGCAATGTTGAAGTAGATGAGAGAAGTACGTTTATTGTCCCACTTTGGGTCATGGAGCCCATAAAACAAGAAGCTTGTGGCCTTGTCTTCTTACATCTATCTATTTTCTACCTACGGACCATTTCTAAACCACAACTAGTCTGCCCAGACAATTTTGGGGATGGAATTAGAATGAAAAAAAGTAGGCTTCTAGAACCCTAGTCATTCATTATCCTATTGGAAAAATAAAAAGCAAAGAGGAAAATGGGTTTGAAAGCAACATCTAGATGTAGGGAGAAGTAGGGCTGGGAAAACAGGTTAGTGTGTTGTTTGTGTCATGTCAAATAACCCTTAACTCGAAATTATAGTAGTAAATTAAATAAGATGAAGTTACATAAGTAGACAATCAAGGCATAATAAAAGCCGGAATCCCGTGGGGAATGAAGTATCCTATGCAGTAATAAAATGTCTTCACGTTGATTGCTCAAACCATTTGATTTTTACGATTATAGTTTTCGCTTCTCATATGCCATGGTGGATTTTCTGGAGTTATGACAAGATTCCTTTGAGTGTCTTCGTGGATCAATTAAGGCTGAGAAGCATTTTGCTCCTACAAGAAATTTTAGTGCGCCATCAACAACAGGGAGGTTCAATTTTTAAGTTCATGGAAATGATGCTTTTTTAAGCTAGTTGATTTTGACAACTATAGATTTTGACAACTATAGTTACTGCTTTTCCCATGCAAATAGGAATCTTTGGAGTTACGAATGTATCCCAACGATCATATTGATGGATGAATTTCGGTTGAGCAGCATTTTGCTTCTATAAAATATTTCAATGCTTCATCATTTACCAGGACACTTAATTCTGAAGCTTATGGAAATATTGCTTTTACTTTTATGATTATATTTTTTTTTTTTGATTATATATCACAAAGATGAAACTGCAAAGAAAAACAATTTTATTAGTGTCCTGTAATCCTTTTAAACCTTTAATTGCATAATCAAATTAGCTCCCACTATTTTATTCGAGTCCTACACTCACTTAGATAAGATCCGAAAATTTTCGTTGGATTAAATTTCTTAGTGGCGAATCAATTTCTTATTAAATTCAATTAACCTCACATAATAGAATTCTTTGTCAATTAAGTCTAATAAGTAGGAAACTATTTTCCTTTTATATCACTATATAAGATCTGATCCATATTCCTTGTCCTAGCTTCGGATACCTCACATTATAGAATTCTTGGTAGCCTAGGCTAGTTAAATCCAAACCATTGTGCTTTCTTAGGATGGCATTTTCATTATGTCCTCACAAAATATAAATCTTGGTCAAGGTGAAAATATCCATCCAAGAACAAGATCACCTTAATTCTATGATATAAAGATCATATCCCTCACATAATAGAAATCTTGAGATATTAAAATTTATATTAAAGAATTTAGTTATCCCACAATGGGAGACTTGGATTTAATAATTTTAATTGGGGAGATTTAGGTTTAACATTAGTTAATTAATTTTAAACATGTCATGTTTAACTAACTCTCCATACATATCACATATATGCATAAATTAAAGCATGTGGGTTTGTAACACCTACATCAAGGTACGTAGCTTTATTTATGCCCTAATACTCTTAGTTGTATTTTATTAAAGTTATCTTGAACAAGTGTGAAGAAAATTCCTTAAACCTTCATAGGGGGTAAAATGGTATTTTCACTCATAATTAGTTGAAAGAGTGGGGAGTGAAAAGAAATAGAATAACATGGAAAAGATAATAAAAATGAGGGCATTCTTGTAATTGACTAAGGGACATAGATGGAATTTTTAAAAAGTGTAAGGGTAAAATGGGAATCTAATATATATTATTTTATGATAATAAGAATTGAAGAAGAGAAACCCTAGCCACTCTATCCTCCGTTCAAGCCATTCTCTACCCAAATTCTCTTAAATTTTTTCATTAAATTTCCAAGGAAATTCATAGGATTTTGACTAACTTTTGATAGATTTTCAATTCTAAGCATCTAAAGGTAAGATTCTTGCACCAAGAAGTGAGATTAAATTTTAAAGTTTTGAATTCTTATGGTTGTATATGCTTAGGGTTTGAGAAGGAGGGAATTCTACCAAAGAGAGAGTATAGTGTTGGAGTTGCTCAAATTCAAGGTAAGTAAACCTAATTTGAACCTTAATTTGAGCAAGACTTTGTTGAATGAATTTTTTTGCATGTTTGTATGTGATGGTATGAGAGAATTATGTGCTGTTTTTGACGTTTATTGATGTAAAATTCTAGCCATGAGAAGTAGTGTATGTTAGTGTGATTTGGTGAAGTTGTGGAAGATTTGTGTTGAGATTTTTGGTGCGAGAAGTGATATTCAACCAGGTTTGATACTCAATTTTGTGAGTTTTTTTTTAAATTGGTTTAATTAGAGAGTTTGTGAAGTGTACCAACATGGTAGTAGCATGTGCATAGGAATTGTTTGATGAAAATCCTAAAGAAAACAGTGCCCTGTCAAATCCGTGACATTATGAGTGATTTTTGAGCATCTTACTCATTGAACTGGGTTTAGACCTAAACATAATTTGTAGCCCTGTCTCTAAGCTTTAAAATGAGACCAAGATCATAGCAATCCGATTGTATAGCTCAAGATATGGCTTCTTGAATTGACTTGCCATATGACTACTCAAAGTACCTCCAATTTATTAGTTATTTTTAGTGTAATAATCTATGATTGATTTCAAGTATGGGAATGTTGTTGGTAGAGAATACTAGTTCCATAATGGTATCTTATATACCATAAGCATTCTCACATCCTCACATTTGTATTAGAAAAATAGCAGAATGAGCATATTTCCATGCACATACACATATATGAGAGCATTAAAGAACAAAGAGAGAGAGTTTGATGAATTGTAAGAATTTCTTTTATGCATGTATATGCTTATATATAAAGAATTGTTGATGGAATGGATATTGAATGATGGTTGAATTTATCCATGAGAAGTAGTGTTTGTGTACTTGTGTTTGATGAGAGTTTGGATGAATTAGGAAGAATTGAGTAGAAAATTTTGGAGTGTGTGCGTGCTGTCGTAGGCACCCAGAATTAAACCTAAAAATACACGTAGTAGTGTAAGTTAGGGTCGATCCCACGAAGAGTGTCTAGCTGAATTTGCTGTTATGTGAAAAAGGGGGGGGGGGGGGGGGTTCTGTGAAAATAGGAATGTTCTTAGCAAAAACTGAAAAACAAAACAGTTCAATTCGAAATCAATTATATAACGAAACTTGGTCTCCGTCAACATCCACCATCGAATCTCACAACTGATCATTGATGTAAAAATAATCAATTCATACATTGAATATTCACCGTTGGAACTATTTTCCTATCTCTCCTTAATTTTAATTATTAGGAACAAGCGCTCTTAATTAATCTTACCACTAAACAACCCTAGACAAGCGCTCAAGATTTAATCTAGTGGCAGCCTTAAGAAGTAGAGAGATCGATGAAGCTAAACAACACAAACACAACGGTTGTATTTAATTTAGTTGAAGTTCTTCGAAGGTTATTAATTCCTACGCAGCAAATATACACCCTATTGCTTCGCAAGTTGGAGGATCAACAATTACGGATTGATATCTAACTTAGCAGTAGATTGCGACAATTATAAACTAGTAGCCTCCCTAGTAATTAAACGAAACAATCATAAAATTAGGCATAGAAAACATCCAATACTCAACACGAAAATTGAACACAAAGAAAAATAATTAGATCTCACAGTTTATCGATTCCGAGGCTTCCGTTTACTTCGACACGTTATCAAAATCAGCCTCTCTGGCCTCCCCGAATTACAGAGGAAAAGTTCAGAGAAACCGAAGAGGCGTGTGTCCCACCAAACCTCTCTGATCTCCCTTCCCAAAAATCTAATTCAAGTGTTTGAATCCAACTCAATCTCCTCAAATCAATTATCCTAATCTGATTCTAATTAATTGAAAATACAAATAAATTTCTTAAAAATAAAAATAGGAAAGTGATGTGTCCAGCTGTAACTCGTGTGCCACATGTCTTCAAATCTTCCAATAATAAACTGCCTCTTGGACTTGCATTACAAGGCAGAATGTTCCAGAACATCGGCAGTGCAGATGTGTCAACTTCAAGCCCAATTAAAACCTTGATGCAGCAATTATCTCTCCAAACTCAAAACATAAAAGTTGTAGATATATTTCTTAGCGTTCTACAGAATTTTGAATCATCTCAATCGGAGCTCAGATGAGAGAGTTATACCCAAAATACGAAACAATGTCAAAACTGTCCGAATTCACTTAATTAGTTCCGTTTTGCAATTAACGCTCCCATTTGCTTCCTAAGTCAAAATAGAATAAAAATCAGTACATTTTAGGCAGCAAATAGGTATAAAAGACTAGACATTAAGGGGGGTAAATATGACATTTTGCATTCTCATCAGTGTGCATTTTGGACAGGTTTGGCATTAAATATGGAGGATTTTATACCAAATTTTTGGTGGCTTAGAAAAGAGATAGAAGTGTAGCCAAATTAGAGTTGCTTTATGCACATAAGTTGTTTGATGAAATGTCAA